TTTTGAAAGAGAAGCATCTTAGCTCTGGAAATTGTTATTGAATATGTCAATGCTGTTGTAATGAAATGCCTCTTCTAATTATATGGTTATTAAATAAATAATTAAAAAAAACCTAGCAGCTTTAAACACAAATAATCATTCAGGGGCTCCCACTGGATAAAACTAGAATAATTTAAAACTAGAATAATCTGAGCACTAAAAGAGTTAACTAATGTCAGTCGTGGTGATATATGCCATTAGTCCCAGCACTCAGGAGGCAGAGGCAAGTAGATCTCTGTGAGTTTGAGGTCAGCTGGGTCTATACAGCACATTAGTTTTTTAAACACATAAAGACCATATATTTAAAAAATAAAAGAAACACACGCCTGTAATCCCAGCACTCTGGAGACTGACAGGCAAGAGGATCATGAATTCCACACAAGCCTAGGTTATATTTTAAATAGCAAGACCATCTCCAAAACAAAAAAAAATTTGCTGGGCATGGTGGCCCATATCTTCAATACCAGTACTTGAGAGGGAGATCGAGCTCTGTGAAACAAAAAATTATAATAAAAGAAACACACGCCTGTAATCCCAGCACTCTGGAGACTGACAGGCAAGAGGATCATGAATTCCACACAAGCCTAGGTTATATTTTAAATAGCAAGACCATCTCCAAAACAAAAAAAAATTTGCTGGGCATGGTGGCCCATATCTTCAATACCAGTACTTGAGAGGGAGATCGAGCTCTGTGAAACAAAAAATTATAAATATTATCTAATATAATTTTATTTATATTATATTGCCATTTCTTCATTCTTTTTTTTTTTTTTTTTTTTTTTTTTTGAGACAGAATCTCCCTGTAGCCCCAGCTGGCTTGGAGCTAGCTATGTAGACCAGACTGTCCTGGAACTCACAGAGATCCTCCTACCTCTGCCTCCCAAGAGCTGGGACTAAAGGTGTGTACCACCACACCTGAGTTTCATACTTTTTTTGAAAAAAGTGCTCTTAACCACTGAGCCATCTCTCCAGTTTCTTTTAGTTTTTTTTTTTTGAGACCGAGTCTCACTTCTGTAACCATAGTTGGCCTAGAACTTGCTATGTAGATTAGGCAGGCTTTGAACTTATAGAGGTATCGCAAGTGCCAAGATTACAGGCATGTACCACCACACAGGGCTACAAGTCCTTCACATTCAATATTTTTAACAGCCATGAAATAATACAACAAATATACTTTGACTTTTTTTTTTTTTTTTTTTTTTTTTGAGACAGGATCATACTCTCATCCTCCCGACCTGGCCTCTCAAACACTGGGATTAGTACTATCATGCCCTGATGTAATGATTTTTTTTTTCCAGCTTAAGGTCTCTATCCCAAGCTGCACTGGAATGCACCATGCCACTATGTAGACCAGGAAGGCTCAAACTTACTGGGATCCTCCTGCCTCTGCCTCCCTAAGTGTGGGATTATAGGCATGTATCATCACACCTTGCTAATTCTTAGACAGTAGTGTCAAATCACAGGCATGAAGAACTTTACATAGTCCAAAATGAATAATCATCCTGTTAGTCATTCCTAAGTATTTTTTTCATGTTTCATTTCTTTAAACTTTATTCATATTTATTACTGCTATGTATTTATAAAGTACGTTCACTTGGTAACCCACTGCCCCACTATTTAAAAATTAAACCTTTTCCACTTGGTTCTAAATATAGTGCTTCATTGAAGGCAGAATAACATCTTAAAATGGCCCTTACCAGGTATCTGGAATACATATACAGGAAATAGGCTTTCTTGCTATTGCAGCCATGTAGGAAATGCGCTGCCCGATCATACTCTTTAACATCAAAGTAGGCCTTAGCCAGGGTATAAGCATCCATATCCTGAGCATCCTCCTAGAAGAGACAAGTTTATGTACATGGTTAGGAATAGGATAACCAAAGTTCACAAATAAAAAGCATATTTGTTAATTTCAAGATATAGAAATTATTTTTATCCTCCCCCCAAAAACAAATAGATGCATTTATATTCTTATGAATATATTGCCATGTAAAGTCAAAAGACTTTTGTTCCAAAGTATTTTTGCAAAATAAAATGTTGGGGGTGCCACGTATGGTGGTGCTCCCAGCACCTGGGAGGCAGAGGCAGGTGGATCTCTGTGAGTTCAAGGCCCGCCTGATCTACATAGTGAGTTCCAGGCCAGCTGGGGGCTACAGGGAGACCCTGTCTCAAAAACGAAAAACAAACAAACAAACAAAAAAATTGCCAATATATCTATATAACTCAGGGTTAGAGTGCTTCTTTAGACTACATGAGGTCCTAGATTCAATCCCCAGTACCAAATATTTTTTTTAAAAAGTTTTAATGTTTACTCAAAACTTTAGATCAAGGCTAAATTAGGTTTAAATGTTTCTTCAATGACAGAGAAAACATGAAAACAATAAATGAGTTTTAAAAGTCATATACAAATAATGGATGCTGCTGGGCATGGTGGCTTTAATCCCAGCACTCAAGAGGCAGAAGCAGGTAGATCTCTGTGAGTTCAAGGCCAGTCTGGTCTACTTACTGAGTTCCAGGTCAGCTGGGGCTACAGGAAGACCCTACAAAAAACCCCAAAAAAAAAAAAAAAAAAGAAAAGAAAAGAAAAGAAAAGAAAAGAAAAAGAAAAAGGATGCTTTACCCTCGCTGTCTTATTTAATCTTCTTGAAAACCCAGCACTTATCACTATTACCTATAAACAAGGCTGTCACTCTGGGGAGTTAGAGGGGTGGACGGTTAAAACTGGGTCTCATTCAATAGCCCATCCTGGCTTGAAACAATGGGCAATTCTCCTGCCTCAGTGTCTCAAATGTTGCAATTATAGGCATGGAGGCACCACCACACCAAGCAACAGAAGGCATGCCACTTAGAATTCACTTGTCTACAGATGCTATAAGTAAAGGACATGACTGGAATTCAAATGAAAATCTACATGAAATCAGAGCATTATACATGCAGCTTACCAAGCTGGCTTCCCTGTTAATAATCATAACGAAAACTAATTTTACAGAGTCCTGTGTGCCCAGTATCCCCGTTTTTTTTTTTTTTTTTTTGTTTTTTTTTTTTTTTGTTCTTGTTGTTTGCTGTTTTGTTTTTTGTTCTTTTCAGGTAGTGGGGGGTTGAACTTAGAGCCTCACGCAAGCTAGAAAAAAACTGTACCACACTGGGTTTTAATTTACTCCCTACTGCAAGCAGGCCTTACACTTGGCATTCTCCTGCCTGTCTCCTGAGCAGCTCCCGCAAAACCAAGCAAGGGTTGCCTGGTACATCTCTAAGTATTTAAATATTTTATCTCCATTTAATTCTCTCTACCCCTCAAAGCAGATACTGCTATTATCCCCATTTCACAGATAAAGAAATTCTGCCTTAGGAGGATATGTTGCTGTCAGTACTTGAGTTTTGAAGCCAGAACTCACACTCTTAACTAATTTCGTTGATTCTTCTGTTCCTTATTAGTCTGTCTAGGCTGTCTACAAAAAAAAAAAAAAAAAAAAAAAAGGATTGAAATTTACTAAGCAATGACTATTGACCAAGTCTCTCCAGTTTAAGGGCACGATCAACCCACCCATGCGGATAAACTCGTGCCGCCCAGCTCTTTAAATGCTCGCATTCCGTCTCCATCACTCCCGCAGAGCAGCGGGCACCCCTCCAGGGACCGAGCGCCAGGATCGCCAAGCATGCCTAGGCCGCCGGGGGATGCTCAGTGCAGGGTCCTACCTCGGTAATGGGCGGCGGCGGCTGCAGCTCGGCCAGCGGTAACGCGGGTAGCGAGAAGGCCAACTCGGCGGACCTGGAACACAGGCACTGCATCAGCACCAGCCCGGGGCCAAAAGCGCCGCCCCTTCCCACCCGACCTCTCACCATTTGCTGCTGTGCAGAAGGCCCCGCTCCCGAGTGAGGCCCGCGATAAGCAGAAGCTGCTTTTTAATTTCCCGTAAGTCTGAAAAATCGGCTTTGGTGGACACGCCGGATACCGCCGCGGTGGGCACGGCCACCGGGACTACAGACGTACCCGCGGCCATTTTCCTCCCTCAGCCACTCCAGCCAATTACCGGCCACGATACTTACTCGGTCTGGTACTGAAAGAGTCTGCTTATCATTGGCTTAGTCTTGCTCCGGAACCGCCAATCATAAATCTCCGTAATGTAACGGAGAGGCGAGGGATAAGGCGGCAATTACATCCCGCTTTGGCAAGGTCTTCTGGGGCGGGAAATTTAGAAGCAGAAGTGAGGGGAAAGAGGGTTCTGATGTGGGTGGGAATGAATAAAGGACTTGGAAAGGTGGTTGGGAAAGTGAGGGTAGGCATAGGAGCAAGGAAAGATGGAGAAGAATGAGATGAACCTTATGGGGATGTGAGTGGACGAATGTTAGAAAGGGTGTGGCTTATGGGAGATTCTGTGCCAGGATGTGATAGTGATGCATGTGGTCTAGAAGGCAAAGCTTCCCCTGGGAATTTTTTCCTTAAGCACTATAAGATGTAGTACCTCGGTAGAAAGTCATTCCTATCATCCTCCCTTTTGTCCCAGGAGGGAAAAGACAGCTAATATTTATTGTAGGGTGACCTGGTGACAAGTTGTGCACTTTTACGAATATAATCTGATTTAACTCTAAAATCAGAACTTTTATTTATTTTTTATTTTTTTTATTTTTTATTTTTTGTCTTTTTGAGACAGGGTCTCCCTGTAGCGCCAGCTGTCCTGGAACTCACTATGTAGACCATGCTGGCCTCCTCCCCAGTGCTGGGACTAAAGGCATGCTCCATCACACCCAGCCAGAACATTGATATTCTTATCCTATCATAGGACTATTATAGATAAGAAAACAAGGTCAGAGTGGTTCAATAAAGAATTTAGAATATAACCCAGATCTGACTCTAAAGCCCAATGCCCTTAAATAATACTTGAAGAATGTTGGGGATGGAGCTCTTGCCTAGTAGTGAGGCTCTGGATTCAATCTCCAGGACACCCCCCCCACAAAAAAAAATTACATGAAGATTTTCGACATTATTTGTTTGATTTTTTTTTTTCAGATTGGTTTTTATGCAATACAGACTTGCCTTGAATTGATTATGGAACCAGGGTTAGCCTGGAACTACTGATCTTCGTGCCTTCACTTCCTAAGTGCTGGAATTACAGGTGCCCATTGCCAGGCCCCACTAACCCAAGAGCCTTTTCATGCACCCAGGGGTTGGCTCAGGCCTGTAGTCCTAGTTATTCTGGAGGCTGAGGAAGGAGGATCACTTGAGCCCAAGAGTTCTAGACTTGCCTAGGGAATATAGTCAGATTTTTTAAAATGTGTACATAGTAACATACAGTATTAGCTTACTGTTTCTCTTGGGAAATTTGTTAGACATTTTGTTTCTTTGGGTGTTAAAGTGATTTTAAAGCTATGTGGGCAGCCAGCGAGATTACTCAAAAGGTTAAGGTACTTGCTGCCAAGCCTGACACCTGAATGTGATCCCAAGGACTCAAATGGTGGAAGGTGAGAAACCATTCCCACAAGTGGTCCCCCAACCTTCTATGCATACACACACACACACACACACACACACACACAATAATAATAAAGTAAAATATAGACTAGAGAGATGGCTCAGTAGTTAAGAGCACTGACTGCTCTTGCGGAGGACCTAGGTTCAGTTCCCAGCACCCACATGGCAGCTAACTACCATCCTTAACTCCAATTCCAAGGGATCTAACACTGTCTTCTAATCTCAGGCATTGCGAGACATAGGCACACTTACATGCAGGCAATATGCTCATACACATAAAATAAAAATAAAATAATTGTAATAAAAAATTTAATTGGGGGCTGCGGATAGGGGAAGGAATCTAAATACCATCAAATCATACTGTATGAAAATTGCAAAAGTTCAATTTTTTTTTCACTTAGGGGCTGGAGGGGCTGGAGAGATGGCTTAGTGGTTAAGAGCACTGACTGCTCTTACAGAGGACCAGGTTTCAATTCCCAACACTTACATGGAGCTAACAACCGCTTGTAATTCCAGTTCTAGGGGATCTGATGCCTTCAGACCTCCTCAGGCATTGCACAACAGGGTGCACTTACATATATGCAGGCAATACACTCATAAGATGAACAAATGAATAAATAAATTAATTGAATTGAATTGAATTGAATTGAATTGAATTGAATTGAATTGAATTGAAAAAAAAATTAGGAGCCGGGCGTGGTGGTGCACACCTTCAATCCCAGCAGTTGGGAGTTCAAGGCCAGTCTGGTCTACTGTTGGGAGCTATTAATTCATTATGTACATTGAGCTATGGCAGGCTTGTTTACTGAGTTTGTGTTTTGCACACCAGTACCTAATCTGCCAAGTCAGGAGGAGTGTGTTTATATGGTGGAGCTCACAAGCATTTGACCGCTCCTTGACCCTCAGATACAGGTGGGAAAAACAGCTGTTGAAATTAATTGAGTTAAGATCTCTGATGTTCTTCTGTATAAAAAGGCAGAGCTAAAATAAACCGTACTGACAGTCCTCCCAAGTATCTTTTCTGTCTCTTGTTTTTTCTTTCAATCCTCACTCCCCCTTTCAGGTACTGTCCGTCTTGGCCATCTAGCACCGGCACTCCCCCAAGGCTCAAGGAACACCCAGACTCGTGTGTAGGATTCCCACTCTGACTGAGAGACAGACCTGTCTCAGTCTCCCATCCACACCTCCAGAGGAGCTGAAAAGAATCAGCTCTGAAGCCAGGCTTGGGGGCACATGCCTTTAGTCCTAGTGCTCTGGAGGCAGAGGCAGGCAGATCTCTGTGAGTTCAAGGCCAGCCTGGTGTACACAGTGAGTTCCAGGTCAGCTGGAGCTACAGAAAGACCCTCTAAAAAAAAAAAAAAAAAAAAAAAAAAATTAGGAGCTGGAGAGGTGGTTCAGGTTCCAGGGGATCTGACACCTTCTGGAGGCATTGTACATACATTGGTATACTTATGTACATGTAGGCAAAACACTTTTACACATAAAATAGTCCAAAAATTTTTTAGCCGGGCGTGGTGGCACACACCTTTAATCCCAGCACTTGGGAGACAGAGGCGGGCAGATCATTGTGAGTTAGAGGCCAGACTGGCCTACATAGTGAGTTCCAGGATAGCTGGGGCTACAAGGAGACCCTATCTCAAAAAGACCAAAAAAAAAAAAAGAGACAAAAATAAATAAATAAATAAAAATAAACTAGTCCAAAAATTTTTTTAATTTTAATAAAGCACATGTAGTGGCATATATCTATAATTGTGGCAGCTGAGAGGTAGAGGCAGGAAGATCAAGAATTCAAAGTCATTCTCGGCTTCATTAAAAGGAATTCAAATGTCAGGCGTGGTTGTGCATGCCCTTAATTCCTTAATCCCAGCACTCTGGAGGCAGAAGCAGGAGGATCTCTGTGAGATTGAGGCCAGCCTGATCTCCATAGTGAATCCAAGCTAGCTGTGTCTACAGAGAGACCCTGTCTCAAAAAGACCAAAAAAAAAAAAAGGAAATCAAGACCAGCTCAGGCTAGGGGCTGGAAAGATGGTTCAGCAGAATACTTGCTGCTTGCTGAGTGTGGTGGTACACGCCTGTAGTCCCAGCACTTGGGAGGCAGAGGCAGGCAGATCTCTGTGAGTTCAAGGCCAGCCTGGTCTACATGGTGAGTATGGTCAGCTGGGGCTACAGGAAGACCCTGTTTCAAAAAGACAAACACAAAAAAGACAACTTGCTGCTCTTTCAGAGGGCTTGGGTTTAGTTCCCAGCACCCACATAGCAGCTCACAACCATCTCTTAACTCCAGTTACAAGGGATCCAAAGCCCTTTTCTGGGCTCTGGGAGAACAGCATGCACATGGTGTACTTTATACATACTGCAGGCAACACTTATGCGCATAAAATAAAAATAAGAAACTTTAGGCGAATCTCTGGGAGTTCAAGGCCAGCCTGGTCTACTGTTGTACCCCCAGACTGGGGTACCCAATGTTCACGGGAGGTTGCACCCCAATAACTCAGTCCTCAAATCAGGAGATGCAACAAGCATAAGGATTTATTGGCGTTTTGCAAAACGGACTCCCACCTCACTCGGAGGACAGAAGTCCAGAGCCCAGTCCACAAGTTTCTTTTAAAGACAAGCG